TATATGTGGACTTTTTATCTATATCTTTCTGGAGTTTAATGTTGTTTTGTTAGTTGTAATATAAGTATCTCTAAATTAATTTCTATATTTAAATTTTTTGGTTCAGTTTTGCTCCAAATTCTACAGGCTAAAGAAAAACTTCAGTGATAATTTAATTGTGAATTTGCCACCTTGTAGCTCTTTTCCTATTGTGAACATATAGATTCATTCATTTAATGTATTCATCAAATATTTATTGAGTGTCTATCTTATGTCAGGCATTGTTCTAAGCATTCAGGATATAATAGTGAATAAAAGGACAAAAGTCCATGATTTCAAGGATCTCACCTTTTAGTTGTATATATATAAAGTGAATTTGTATGGCGTGATGGACTTTAAAAACATCTTTGTTATCCATTATAACAAACTGCATAAGTTTCTTGTTTGGAAGGAAGGAAGATATAGAAGAAACTATCACTAAAATGAGCTTTCTTTTTAGGAAAAAAATGTATTTTAGAATAATCCAAAATTAGGAACATGCATATGAAATTTTGTAGAAACTGGAAGTTTTCATTATTATTTCTGTATAAGATTATAAAAAGAAAGGCTACAAATAAATGAGTACACAACACATTTTCAAATTTTGGTTAGTTTATTCAAGTCTGTATGAAGCAAGTCATTTTAGCACTCATATGTACTACCATCTAAAGAGCCAAGCTTAATGAAAAGAATTTAGAAAAGCTGGCATTTTAGACACTAACATAAATATAATTTTAAGGAAGTACCAGCGATTATTGCACAAGGAAATCATTCTTCCTGATCTAGCAGCTTCAAACTTTCAGCCTTAATGTTATCTCCCCTTCTACTATTAATAGAGCATTCAGTCCATAAAATTCTGAGATATGATGAATTTCAGTTTTTGAAGCTGTTTTTTTTAAAAAAAGATATTCAGTAAGAATACACATATTTCAAAATATTTCAATTTGTTTCAGCCTGGGTCCTCTCCAAAAGCAGAGTGGGAGACAAAAGCTTGTAAATAGATAGTTTATTTTAGGAAATTATTCCAAAGAAGACAGGGAAACTGGGAAGAGAAGGGAAGGGAGAAAATTGAATCCTAGGATATATTAATGAGCAGTATTGTTACTGTGTTAAGTAGCTGGGGCTCAATTCCTCTAAGAAGCCTTGTAGACAACACCTCAGAATTGTTCACCTGAGACAGAATCGGGAGCATTTATCCACCAGTCCCCATCTGGAAATTGGTCAAGAGTGGCACCAGTAAATGTTTACTCCACCCACTTCTTCCAGGTGTGGTAAGCATCTGAATGGCTCGCTTGGACTCCATTGGGCATTTTATACATTGGCACCAGGAAGCCTGGGACTATACAGCAGTGAAAGGTATGTGATGCACATGAAATGAGGTGTTTTCAGGTTCATCTACAATGACTGAAGTTAAATGGTGAGCAAGGAGTATGTGCGGTGGGGCACAAAAAGTGAATGATACCTTCTGTTTTGTGATGCTATTAAAATTAATAAGGTCAACACCTTAAATGGAAATTTTAAAAAGTAAAAACATAAATGAGAATTTATTCTAAGAAAATGTACTTTACAATTTTGATATGAGAATTTAATAAATTGTATCCATCAGGATTGCTACCTATAGTGGAAATTCAAATATAGGTAGCATTACCAATGTTGGTGTACTCGTCAAATAACTCTGTGTGTGTGTGTGTGTGTGTGTGTGTGTGTGTGTTAAAGAGTATAAACATAAATGTATTTTTTAATATACAAAATTATCATTTCTAGTCATTTATTTATGGTTTTTCTTCCTTTCCTTGCTTTGTAGGGTTAAGTCTCAATGTATTCTTGTTTGCAATCTGTTTTTAAAAATTGCAATTCAGGGCCAGCCGAGTGGCTCAGTTGGTTAAGAGCTCGCTCATGAGTGCGAGCTCTGAGCAACAGCGGTTCGAGTCCCAGCCCAAGCTGAGCAGCCGCTGAGCTGCCAACAGGTGTCAGGATGGCTCAGCTTTAAAAAAAAAAAAGGAAGAGAAAAACTGCAATTCACTAAGGACTTCAGAGCTGAAGGGTTTTTGGCAATCCAAATTTATGAACTATTTTGATTAAAGATGTTCAGCTTATTTGGGAAAAAAAAAGAAGTAGCCAAATTTGGGGAGAATCATTTAGAAAATATGCAGTACTGCTGAAGAACATTTATATTGATTTACAGAGTAGTGAAATAAGTCCAGGGCATTTCTAAAAGTTTGATTGATGCAGGGAAGCAAAAAGAAAAATAGGTACTGCCATGATGAGGTTTTCCTTTTTTTTTTCTAGTTTTGTTTTTGATTCAATATAGGCTTTGTCCCTCAACCCCAAAAATTCAGTTCAGTTATACGATACAAAGAATATTTGTAAATTCTGATTAGTACACCATTACAGGTTAAGTAAATAAAATTATCCATTCACCACCACTAATCCCAAGTACATTTTTGCTTCATAAGTTTCTTAATTTGGTAAGAATATTGTTGTGTCATGATGTGCTCCAGCAAAATTGGTATCCATATTGTTAAAATAAATATAAATTTACTTTCAATGTAGAACTTTTTCATTGAATACAGTAGCATTCACCATAATGTCAGATATCCAACCTTTACAAAAAGCAACACAGAAATCAGATTAGTGAAACTATTTTTAAAACTATTTAGAAAACAAATATCAACCTTGGATTTTCTATCCCCTCAAGCCAAGTTTCAAGTCTACAGAAAAGCTCTTTTAAACATGTAAAAACTCAGGAAATATTGTTTTCATAAGCTATTCCTGATAATTCTACTAGAAGACAAACTTCATCTGGCCACAAGAATCACTGAGGAAACTTCAGCCAAATGACTAGTGGTAAGCAATGAATATATTTTTAATGTATATATTATAAATAAACAAACAAATACATACATAAATTCGATGAATACATATTTCTATTTTAACATATTATGTATATAATAAGTATATTTAAGTAATAAATAGATAATGAAGGGCAGCATCAGTGTGGAAGGCTAGTACATAAATGCTACATTCTCTGACAAAGTAAAAAAAAACAAGTAAAATGAGAGGAGATGGAAGGAAGAAAGAAAATGAGTTTATCATTGACTACGTTATAGGAAACAACTAAAAGTCAAAGTGAGTTATATCTGACAAAATGAATAGGAAAGCCTAAGTAAGAAAAAGAAAGGGGTAATTATGTAAAAGTATTAGTATATAGGAAACCACTTGAACAAAAACACAAACATTCCTAAATAGCAAAATAAAGACAAAATTAAACAAAACTAAACTTGCTGATATAATCTGTCTATTGTAGTACCCTAATCAAATTTTTTTTGTTCTTATGGGGATATATACAGAGGGTGCCAAAACAATGTATACACATTTTTAAAAAGGAAAAAACTGTATTAGAATTGTAATACTCAATATAAACCAATAACAAAAGATGAATATAAGTCATGTGTATACATTTTTTGGCATCCCAAGTATATATTCCCTTCACCACAATTTTAGTGGAATCTGAAAAAAAATGGCAGTAAATGTATATGTTCAATATGACATGACTAATCAAAATAATTAAGGTTACTTTTAAAGCCCTGGGACTGGACTTCCTGCTGTAGATAGGTGGCCACGTCAAGTCTATAACTATAATATGGGATTCAAGACTCACAGTTGATCAGGAAAGAAGATGCACGGTGACTGCTCATTGCTGGCTATGCCATGTCTCTGGCTTGGGACAATGGGTGGACGATGGTACATTTACTGGTTGTTTACCTACTTCCATCCAGCTTCCAAAGGCTCTTCCCTGCAAATAAGCTAGAGTTTCAAGTATTTGTCTAGTCAACCATCTAGTCAATCAATCTACTGCCATCTGCATCTAATTTGATTATTCTATTAATCTTTTATATGAAAAAATATGCTATATCTAAAAGCTACATTACCACTGGAAATGTCAACTACTTAAATGTCTAGTCTTCATATTCCTATGATATGGGAATAATAAGACAGAAAGGTACATGAAATAAACGCATTGCTTTATGAATCATTTCAAAGTGAGCATCCACCATGTAAAGAAATGAACTATGCCAGTACCTCAGAAACATCCCCCTTCCCCCCACCTCCCTAAAAGTAACCTGACATTTATGATAATAAGTTCTTTTCTTTATGGCTTTATTTCAAATGCCCCAACTTTGGGAAGTATACAAGTTGGAGCTAGCGTTATTTGTGTGTGCCTGTGAGTATATTATTTTACTTTTCACAATGCATTTGATGAAATCTTACTAAAGGTTCCAGGGTTAGAGAATTAAATGGAGGCTAATATGAAATAGCAACAATTACCCCAAGGTCTTAGAGCAATACCGACCATTTCTAGCACTGTATTTGATTAATACTTTTTTTCTCAATACTTTTCTTTGATATTCTGACATCTAAGTGCTTTGTATTTTCAGTGACTTGACCTCAATTAGTTATTAAAATTGCTCCCAACGCCTGCATTTCTTCAGAGCTTCAGAATCAGGAGAGTGGAGACAAACTCGCACAGGGAGAGACGTCCAGCATTCCTCTCATCATTTACTCGGCAACCACGTTGTACGCAGAGGATGCGGAAAAACTGTATGATTCTGCACTTAACTCTCAAGCAGCAAGGGGGCACACATTGCCAAGGCTGCGTAATTAGCCTCAAAAGTAAGACGGACGCTGGGATGCGGGGCCGAGAGGGCAGCATCTTGCTTCGCGAGAGACCCACAGCCAATAAGGAGCGAAGGAATCGGCACAGCACGCCCCTCCTTCGGATACCTTCACTTTCTGCCTTGAACGTCACTCTTCCACGAATAGCCGGGCTCCACCCCCGGCCCCTGCCGCCAGCCGCCAGCCGCCAGCCGCGGGCGTCCGACCCACGGGCCCTGCCTCCAGCCTCGCCCCCCGCCTCTCCCCGTCGCCTCTGCGCCTGCGCGACCGGAAAATTCGCGAAGGTTCCTGAAGCGAAACCGACCGTTTCCGGAAGCCGGCAGCCGCCCCAGCCTTCAGACCGGTGGTTGCAACGCACTCTCTTGCGGTTCCCGGTGTTTGGGCCCGAGTGGTAACAGCGCGGGGAGAAATGGCCCTGCTGTGCTACAACCGGGGCTGCGCCCAGCGCTTCGATCCCGAGACCAACTCCGACGGTAAGAGAAAAGCGCCGCCAGCCCTCGGTCCCCTCTCCACCTCCTATCGGGGGACGCCCTTGGGCCAGACGGTGTCCCGGGGTCCTCCCGCGAGCCGCCGCCACGCCGCCCCCGGTCAGGGTCCCTCCCGGGCCGCCCCGGGAGCCGCCAGCCGCGTCCGTGGTGCGCGGGGTCGTGGGCCGGCGCCGGTGGCGGCGTCTCTGCGCCGCCGGAACCCACGGGCCCGCTCGCCGTGGCCGCACGTGCCTCCCAGCCGTCCGCTCCCTCCGATTCGCCGCCCCGTTGTTTGGGGGAAGCCAGAGGCAACCGGGCGCCACCGGTCTCGGCGTGGAGGTTGCTGTGCTGTGTGAGGGACAGGCAGACGGACGGACCGACAGATGGGCGAGTTGGGCAGCGGCCGGGTTACCCCCGCCTTGAACTTCGGCCTCGTTGTATTTAGAAGTTTGTCTGAAAGCCGACTCTCGGCGTGTTCAGTTACAGACCCACGGTTACAAACTTAATTTTTTTTGTTTAAAGTGTGCTTGGTTAGGAAAATGGCCCTATATCTTTACGCTGTTTAGTTTTGGTACACCCGTCCCAGTGGGCGGCACATTCGTTACCCTTTACTTAGCAGCCGTATCGGTGATGGGCATTTTTGTGATGGCTGCCTTGTCATGCCATGCCATCTTCAGGGTAACTGTGAATTACCTGCACAGGACCAAGCTGTAGAGTTAGGATGTCAAGTGACAGTGACTAGACCTGGTGAAAAATAGGAAACGACCAATGAACTTCGATTTTGACGGGTGAGTGGCATAAAGAAGTGAGTTCGTCCTTTGAATAGTGTGGGCTGGGTCGACACTCTCAAATTTAACTGGCATTTATTATGTGATTTCTATGTGCCAGTCTGTCACTTTCTTACATTATTTCATTTTAACCTGCACAGCCCTATGAAGCATGCGTTATTAGAGAAGCCACGTTCAACATGGTGGCAGCATTGTTCTTCATTGTGAAAGAGATTAAATTCGATGCCTTTTACAATCCTTTTCGCCTCTGAGATGTCTGAAATATTTAACTTGGTGCCCAGGTGAATTGGTGACATTTAAAATGATAAGACCCTTGGCAGGATTCTGAGGAAATGATAAATCCAATCTTTGTACAATACTCAAGTTACTGTCACTGACAATTTCATATTAATATAAAGTTATTCAGTGGGAAAGTAGACTTCAGTGAATATAATCGAGGAATGCAGGATTTTAAAGCCCTTTGCTGCTTATTGGTAGTCTTTGTAAAAAGTAAGTTGCCTTAGTGCCTGTACATATTCTACTTTAATAATAAAGGGGAAAGGTTGATGCTTTCTTGTAGGGGCTTTCTAGTATGTTTATTTATAGGGTGCCAAATACCACTGTAAAATTAAGAGGAGATAAAGCCGTTTTTTGGAAGTCAGCTGTGTGTGTGTGTGTGAAATGCCGCAGTACCTAGGACAGGGATGGGACAGGACAGTCAGAGGAGGAGATAGTCTCAAGGATTGTGCGTGATCACCAGTATCAAATTCAGCTAGGAGCGCCAGTAAGGTTGCTGAAATTTTATTTGCTTTAGCAAATGGAGGTTGTTTTACAGACTTAGAATAAATACTCCAAGTAAGTTGGTTGACTAAATGGAAAGGTAAGCAAATGGGGATAGGGAGTAGAAGACAAGAGTTAATGGCAGACTGTGGACTTGTTTAAGAGAAAGTTTTATACAATGGGAGAGGATTGACCTTATGTATTGACTAAAATAACAAGACTCCCTTCTAAGCTGGTAAGATATTTTAGTTTGAAACACAGCTAAATGAGTGTTTAAAGGAAATATGATTGGGAACTTGTATATGTTAAACAGTTACTCTGGAAAAAGCACCACTTCACAAATAGCATTTTATATCTACTGGGTTGTTGGAAAAGTCATAATGCATGTTTGTAACAGATGGCACTAGTTCATTTTTGGAAGTACTAGAGTCATTTGCATCTATGTTATTGCTATGTCATTTGACAGCTGACAACTCTAGCTTCATTCTAAAAAAAAAAAAATTGAGCGATTTGGTTGAGTTTTGGAGATTTTACAACAAGTTGAAGATGGAAGACCAAATTGCATTCTTGCCGTATTTTACTCTTTTACTTCCATAAAGGGAAGAATGCACATCAGGCTTGTGAAAAGTTGCATAAAGTTTATGGTGACAATGCTTTACAAGAATGTCAGTGCCAACGATGGTTCACGAAATTCCGTGCTGGTGATTTTGATCTCAGCGATGCTCCTTGGTCATGGAGGCCCACCGAGGTTGATGATGACAAAATAAAGACATTGATCGAGTCAAACCCACGTTACATGACACGAGAGATTGCAGAAACATTGAGCATCCATAATTCAAGTGTTCATGATCATCTTAAGCTGAGATACGTAAGCAAGCTCTATATTTGGGTTCTGCATGAACACAAAGAAGTTCATTGGATGGCGCGTATAAACATCTGCAATATGCTCATTAAACGTGAGAAAAACGATCCTTTTTTGAAGTGACTGATAACTGGTGATGAGAAGTGGATTGTTTACAACAATGTGCTGCACAAATGTTCTTGGTCCCAAAATGATGATTCACCTTAAACGACATCAAAAGCAGACATTCATCAGAGGAAGGTTATGCTCTCAGTGTGGTGGTATTTTAAAGATGTCGTGTTTTCGAGCCCCTACCAAGGGACCAAACAATCAATTCGAATGTGTACTGTTGGCAATTGGACAGTTTGAATAAATCCATCCTCCAGAAATGTCCAGAGCGTGTTAATTGTAAAAGAATTGTGTTCCATTGTGACAACGCGAGACCACACACAAGTTTGATCACCCTTCAAAAATTATTGGAACTTGGATGGGATATGTTGCCACACCCACCATACTCACCTGACCTTGCGCCGTCAGACTTGCACTTGTTTCACTCTCTTCAAAACTCCTTGCGTGGTATAATGTTCAATTCAGATGAGGCTGTAAATCATCACCTTGTTCAGTTTTTCGCAAATAAAGACAGGTCCTTCTAAGAACGAGGAACTATGAAGCTCACTGAAAGGTGGCAAAAGGTTATCGAACAAAACGGTCAATATGTCATTGATTGATCTTTGTTATTTATATAAATAAATGAACTTTGAAAAACATAGACAAAATATGTCATGACTTTTCTGACAACCCAATAGTATATGAGGAAACTGAAAAAGCTACCAAAAGGCAGAGGCAAAATTTAAGCCAGGGTCAGACCCAGTGTTAAAAGCCCTTGGCTCTTAACACTACAGTGTTGTAGATTCTTACCCATAACATATTACTTTGAGCTAAACTGGTAAACTTTATAAAGACTTGAGAGGAAAATATCCATCTGCTTGTTATTTACCCTTGAAAGCAGTGGATTTCTGATGTTGTTCATACTATTGGGTTGTCGGAAAAGTCATGACACATTTTTACAACGAAAAACATAGAAAAAATACGTCATGACTTTTCCAACAACCTAATAGTTGTATGGTTATGACCTGACTCAGTGCTGCTGCCATTCTGCCAAAACTGACTGTTATTATTGTGCCTCTGACTGTGTTACACATTATGCACTTTATGCCCCTGACTATATATACATTTGATATTTATAAATCCTCTGCTCTCTGCTTTGGTTCCCCGCTCAACTTCTTAGCCCTCTGCATATTCGTTTCTACTTTTGTCAGCCCGTAATTCCATTACTGCCCTTAATTGATTGCTTCTTTCTAACCATGGGTTTACTTACTGTACCATGAAAATACTTGACACTTGCCATTCGCTAGCATATTATGTATGTAATGCAACACCTGGTTACTAACTAAGGAAACCATATTGGCCATTAATACAGGGGTAGGGAGATTTCCTTAGGTACCAGGAATTCATCATTTTAAAGCAACACCAGGAATCAGAGGTTGTAGACAATTGAAAGCTAAGTAGACATGAAGGTTGAACAGAGTAGCCTTATAAGAAAATTGTGCAGGTGTGGAGCTGACTTGTTTTTTTCTAAGTTCATGGTTCCCTCAGGGAGTGTATCTATTATTGGGTATTTTTTTTAACATAATACTCTATGCTGCAAACTGTAATAAGCCCATTTTCATAAGAGAGTTTAGTAAAAACTGATGATATAATGAGTATAAGGAAATAGAGAATAACAGTCATTTAAAATAGACTGTTGAACTTAAATTTCTTTTTAATGAAGTTTGTATCGAGGAATTGACACCTGTCTAGGAAACTTAAATTAACAATTAGATATTAACATTAGTTTTTAAAATTTTGAACCTGATCTTCCAAAATATCTTTTTAGTGAGTCTCTTGGGTAACATTATGGATCAGTGCATATAAAAACACTTAAATTTGATAGTATTTTTGTAAAAACAGAATTGAAAGATGATAGCCACAAATTGGAGCTTGAGTTTGGTACTAAACAAATTTTACTATAAAGATTAGTGGAATACAGAATGTAATTTGTTATACTTGAAATACTATTCTGTATTATTTTTATCTATAGCTGTCATACTCTTGAATTGGAATTTATTTTTTTATTTTTATCTTTTTTTATTATTAGTTTCAGGTGTACAAAACATGTAATAGTTATTCTTTTCACCCCTCACAAAGTGACAGTCCACCTCCCCCCATCCCATTCCCTCCCACCCCTGATATCATACTTACCTATTACAATTCCATTGACTCCATTCCCACACTCTACTCCACATCCCGTGACTATATGTATATATAATTATAGTTGACATACAATATTATTGAATTAGAATTTTAACTATTACTGTTTTAATACAATGTTATATTAAGCACGTGTGCCATGCGTCAAACTTAAGCAATAGTGAATATCTAAGGAAAAGAAAAGTATTACCTGAATTGGGGGAAAAGATTAAATGTTACCACCTGAAGGAAATAATACTTTTTTATTATAAAGTGGTTTTCTCTGTTTTTGACAGATGCTTGCACATACCACCCAGGTGTTCCAGTTTTTCATGATGCATTAAAGGTAGGAACTTGATACATTTTAGTCTCTTCATATTTGTATAGTAAATTTAGAGGTATAATACTAAATCTTTATTTTCTCAGTTTGTGACTCTGCTTTCTTAATGACCATTTTGGGGTGATTTAAGCAAGTGCTCCACTAAAGGCAAAGAAACAGCAGATGGTGCTCTGAAGGTGTTCCAGTAATAAAATTGTTATTTCTACCCCAATTCTCACTTTTATACCCCTTGTTTCTTCACTGTCCTAATTTTGAGGAGAAATAAAAATAGTTGTATTGAGTCTTAATCGCTTAGTGTGTCAGACAGCTGCTGTATAATAAGAGAAGCAGCTCTGAATTTTAGGAAAGATGGTTATAAACCCAAGGGTGCCAGCCTCAGGACAGACATGTAAGTTTACCAAAGAAATGCCACCTGTACTTCCTTGATGTTTTGGAGAATTAGAGAAATAATAGAATGTTGTTTGACCAGGTTTTTCATGGTGCTTTTAGTGATCTTTTAAAATTTATGATAACATGGTACATTTTTCACTGTGTATCTCAAAAGAAAATGTCGCAGCATGGCTCTGCTATGGTTTTGAGTGCCACTACTTGTTCTTAGGCACATAAACAATCTTAAATGTTTAAATATTACCGAGCCCGTTTGAATTTCTAATTATACCTTTCAGAGACTAGTTGGACCTTTTTGACATTTAACTGTTAGGTAGCCAAGTGTAAACAAAAACGTACAAGCAGATACGTTTATTTTAACCTGTTTAGTTCTAAGTGAGGAAAACGCAACAAACATTCTATAGGGCAAGTTGAAACCTAATTCTTGCTTACATCTTTTTAGCCATTTTTAGAAATGTATGGGGATGGAAACTATGGTTCTGTGGGAATATTTATTTTTGCACAGTTGGGGGCATTTTACCTTTCCTGGACTGCCATTTACTCTATGTTTATTTTTATTGTACGTTTTTCTTTTTTTTTTTTTCCTGTAATGTTTTTCTCCTATCTCCTAACCATAGTTATATTCACTTCTCAGGCTTTGGCTTCCTGTTTTTCTCTCGTTTGTTAGTTCATTCATTCCTAGCCTTAAATGTCACTTATAATGCCAGTGGCCTCCACAGCATATTTCCATTTATGTGTGTCAGTGGCAAACACAAACCAGTCTCTAGAGTGAACTCTTATGCCAAAAATAGCCTGCCTTTCAACTTTGCTGCTGCTTATAATGATACCACTAACTTTCTAGCCATTCAGCCTATCGCTGTTTTTTTTACTACACAACTGTTAATCACTCAAATTAATCTTGGTGATTTTACTTGGAAGTATTTTTTTTTCTCTTCTCTCATTCTACTGTTTATTATTATCTCCATAAATATTTCTTGAAGACCTAGACTTTGTAAGACTGTTAGATTTCACAGTCCTGTAAATTTCAGGCAAAATTTTAATTAGCATAGCATCTACTGTTGCCAATTTTCTATTTAATCAAGAAGCTAAACATTGCATTAACGAAAGAACATTGTAATATTCAAATTGAAAGAGGCATGTTTAGAGAAAAGAACAATCCTTAAGAAAAGATAGTCTTATACTCACATACTTAAATTTATCCTTTTCTCATTTTGCTGAGAACTACCATTGACCCCCAGATTGGCATTTGAGAATAACTAGTCTGTATCATGTATGTATCCCAGTATCCCTAGAATACCTGATGCAATTCTTCGTATATGATTAAGACAATAAAGCCTTTTCTTGTATAGAATGACTTGTCTAATGGCTATATTATCAATGCTAATTAAACCCTATATTTAAGGTTGTAAGTTTTTATCTATATCTCAATTCGGAGTAAAAGAGAATTATATTTCAAAATAAAGAAAAATTTGAATTATAGCATATTTAACATTTTCTTTAAAAAAACAGAACAACAAAAAGAAAACCTGTAAGTACATATTGTGAAAAAACCATTGTCAAATTCTTCAAGCAGTATATTGAGAAAAACAGTGAGGCCCAAGTGGATATGTGCAAAGCTGGCCTTTAGTCTGTATTTGAGCCATCTCAGCTCTTGAGGCTGCCGCCTTTTTACTTATTTTCTGTACTACAGTGGAATTATAGGTGACAACTTAAAGCTATTTTTGGTAAGCCAGCTTTTATTTTGCTCAGTAATTACATACTGCATTACAATTTCTATATTTTTATGCTTCTCACTGAAAGATCATTTAGCTTTCAAAGATCTAACAATGCTTAGGCTGCTATGTTAACCTGTGTTTGAAAATAGGTAGAAAGCTTATTGTTGGGGAACAGCTACAATGAGTTTGTTTAGAAACTGAATTAAAATTCTCTCTGACTTAGTGGATTTTTAAAGTAAAGCACTTCACTTACTCCCCAGATCCTTTAAAATATATGTTTTTAGAAACTACAAAATGTTCTATAAAAATCAACTACTATTTTTAGTAACAAAAGCTATTTTCTGTTTCCCTGTTTTCAGGGTGCTTCCTTTCTATGATAGTTCACAGCACACATCACTTCTAACATTGGTTAATTAGTTTTTTGTTGTTTTTTTAAATCAGAGACTAGAAGTCATTTCACTTGATTAGATGAATCATTTACAACACTTCAAAACTGAAATACATATATATGCAAATCACTTGCGGATTCAACGAGATAAGAGATAAGTGCGAGTATTTGACTGGGTTGTGATTCTCATGCAATACAGTTTTCAGTTTTTGTTCTCTAATGTTTCACAGGGTTGGTCTTGCTGTAAGAGGAGAACAACTGATTTTTCTGATTTTTTAAGCATTGTAGTAAGTATAAATTTTTTTTTCTAGATTATCTCCTGAAAGCTACATATGCTGGGAAGCTCTGGATTTAAGGAGTTTAATTTTGGACATCTGTTGACTAGTCCCCATTAATTTGTAGATAATAACTTTCTTTTAAAATGTAGCTCTTCCTTCTACAGTGTTTGCAATAGGAATTTATCTGTTTTAGAGACTGAAGTTTCAAGATAGTACCCACTTGTCAATTTTGGTTTGTACTTAATGTTAGAAGTCCTAAAAGAACATCAAGAAGAAGGAAGGCAGTAGGCAACAATTTAATGCATATTCAGTTAGGTACAATAAATTTTTATCAAATCTAAGATACCATCAAAGTACATCATTCTTTTGTATACCCTTAAGAAAGAAAACTAAAGCTGTTGATTAAATAACATGCCATTGATCTTATGATTTCAGAGATGTTAAAATGTATGTATTACTGAAAGGGATATGGAAAAAGTAGCTAGCATTTATTGAATGTTTGCCACCTGCCAGATGTGCTAAGTATTCTGTTGTTTTAATCCTCTCAGAAAATATCTTAAGTGACATTATCTCCATTTACTGATGAGGAAACTGAATTTTAAAAGACTAATTACCTTCCTTCAGGTATGTAGCTAGTAAGTAGCAGAACTAGGGATCAAATTGTGGCCCTTTTTTATAAATAATTTGTAGAATTCTCTTTGTAAGGTAGCATTTGTTACCTATAAACAAGTTTATGCATACATGTAATAGTTAAGTAGATGTTTATGAAGTGTTACAAAGGTTCTTTATTTCTAAAAAATGTATTATTCAAATGTAATAACTCATTTACAAAAAAAACCAAATTTGGAGTCCTATTTTTAGTTTCTCAAAGCAAGTTAATATGTTAAAAGTGGAGAAAACATACAATAGGTTTTATTAAAAAAGAATTGAAAACTAGTATTACTTTCATGGAATGTGAAATAGATGATAGGATAACTCATAATGAATACCTTTTACTAACAGGGCTGTACAAAAGGTAGACATAATAGTGAAAAGCCACCTGAGCCAGTCAAACCTGAAGTCAAGACTACTGAGAAGAAAGAACTATCTGAATTGAAACCCAAATTTCAGGAGCACATCATTCAAGCCCCTAAACCAATAGAAGCAATAAAGAGGCCAAGGTACATTTTTTACAGTTGCATATTGTTGTCACACTTGAATAATTGCGTTATTTCTGGAATTTCCTATTATGATTTTGTACAATATGGTTTGTAGCTGTATGTAGTCACCAACTTTTGAACCATTTGATTTTCCTTTAGATATACCTTTTTTTTTAATTCCCCCCTCAGCTTGAGGACATGTACACAGTAAACTTCATTGCAGACTTGCTCACTGTACCATCATAATTATGGCAGGCTAGGGAAGCCATGCATCCTTCTTGTGCCTGGGCTTGTATCTTCTCCACTTTGGCATAATAAAATTCTATAAAGGAATTGTCTTTGTCAGGGAATGAGTTTGAGTTGAAAAAGAACAGAGGTCCCCTTTTCTTTCCATTTTTTTATTGTTTCTTGAATATCTCCTAGGACATTTGTAACAGAAGAATATTTAATTTCCTTTCAAATAACTAGTGAAGGATTTACTTTTATTTCAAAGTAGCCCATTATATTATTAAATCAGTGTATAAGTTTCATATGTATGGAGCCAAATTCTTTCTCATTTTTATTTGTCCATATTTTGCCACTTATAACAAGCCTACTTCATCTTTTACTTTTCAGATGCCTGAAAACTGTTAATCTCATTATCACTGAGAATTCTTTTTGTTTTAATTTTTCAAAATTTATTTTTTAATTACCGTTGACATACAATATTATATTAGTTTCAGGTGTACAACACAAAGTGATTATACATTTATATATCTCACAGAGTGATAACCCCAAGAGTCTATTACCTGACACTGTACATAGTTATTACAATATTATTGAAATATTCCCTGTTATACTTTACATCCCCGTGTCTTTTTTATTCAGTTATACTTGACCTTCAATATTATTTTATATTAGTTTCATGTGTACAGCATAGTGATGAGACATTTATATAATTTATGAAGTGATCCTCCCAATACATCTAGTACCCACCTGATATTATACATAGTTTTTACAATATTGACTATATTCTCCATACTGCAATTTACATACTTGTGACTATTTTATTAGTACCAATTTTTACTTCTTAAACCCTTCACCTTTCTGACTCATTCCCCCAACCATATAGTAACCATCAATTTGTTCTCTGTATATATGAGTCTTTCTGTTTTGTTTATTTTGTCATTTAGTTTCTGCATACAAGTGAGATCATGGGGTGTTTGTTTTCCTCAGCCTGACTTATTTCACTTAGCATAATACCCTCTAGGTCCATCCATGTTGTTGCAAATGGTAAGATTTCATTCCTTTTTATGGCGGAGTAATAATCCATTGTAACCACAAGGTGTGATCAAACAATACGGTGAATGTTTAAAAAAAAAAAATCATTGCAGTAAAAGACACATCGCCATTAATCCCCCTCAAAATATTACCCCTTGCTTTGAATGCACTTACCCATCATTCTTGCCACGTTCAAAGTAGTCTTGGAAGTCCTCTTTCATGAGTGTCTTTAGTTGTGCTGTCATGGCTGCCTTAATGTCCTGAATCGATTCAAAATGTTTATCTTTCATGTTCATTTTGACTTTGGGGAAGAGCCAGAAGTCGCACGGTGCCAGATCCAGTGAATCAGGAAGATGAGGACACACCGTAATGTTTTTATTTGACAGAAATTGCCGAACCAGAGCACTGTGTGACATGGAGCGTTGTCATGATGGAGAATGAAGTAAAGACACTCATGAAAGAGGACTTCCAGAACTGCTTCAGAATGTGGCAAGAATGATGGGATAAGTATGTTCAAAGTGAGGGGGAGTATTTTGAGGGGGGATTAATGGCAATGTGTCTTACCATAATAAATGTTTTGTATTTAACATTCAGTGTATCCTTTGATCACCTCATATGTACCTCATCTTCTTTATCCAATCGTCTGTTGATGGGCATTTTGATTGTTTCCATATCTTGGCTATTGTAAATAGTACTTCAGTGAACATAGAGCTGCACATACCTTTTTGAATTAGTGTTTTGGGTTTCTTTGGATAAATACCCAGCAGTGGAATTACTGAGTCATAAGGTAGTCCTACTTTTAATATTTTGAGGAACCTCCTTACTGTTTTTCCATAGTGGCTGCACCAATTTGCTATCCCACCAACAATGTACTAGGGTTCCCTTTTCTGTACATCATTGCCAACACTTCCTGTTTGTTGATTTATTGCTCATGGCCATTCTGACAAGTGTGATGTGATATCTCACTTTTTATTTGCATTTCTCTGATTATTAGTGACGTTGAGCAGCTTTTTATATGTCTATTGGCCATTTGTATGTTCTCTTTGGAGAAATGTCTGTTCAGGTCTTCTGCCCATTCGTTAATTCGATTGTTTGGTTTTTTGGTGTTGTATTTTTTATAAATTTGGAATATTAACCCCTTTTCAGAAGTATCATTGGTGAATATTTTCTTCCATTCAGTAGGATGTCTTTTCATTTTGTTTGGTTTCTTTTGATAGTTTCCTTGAATGTGCAAAAACTTTTTAGTTTAATATAGTCCCATTTGTTTATTTTTTCTTTTGTTTGCATAGCCCGAGGGGATATATCAGTAAAAATATTACTAAGGGTAATGTCTGAGAGTTTACTGCCTATGTTTTCTTCTAGGAGTGTTATGGTTTGGGGTCTTACATTTAAGCCTTTAACCCATTTAGAGTTTATTCTTTTACAAGGTCTGACAATTAAGTTCACGAACTTGTTGCAACCAATGTTGATAACCTTTTTTGATATCAGAGGGATTGTTCATTATGAATTTGTATCAACTGGACAACCAGGTTAACTATTCGGAAGTACTGAAAACGCTGTGTAAAAAAGTTGGACGATTTGAACTTTTCACCAACAATTCATGGCTCTTGCATCATGACAGTGCATCAGCTCACACGGCACTGTCTCTGAGGGAGTGTTTAGCCGGTAAACAAGTACATAACTGTATTGGAACACCCTCTCTACTCACATGATCTGGCCCCCAAAGACTTCTTTTTTTACTGAAAATAAAGGAAATATTGAAAGGAAGACATCTGGATGACATTCATGACATCAAGAGTAATACGATGACAGCTCTGATGGCCATTCCAGAAAAAGAGTTCCAAAATTGCTTTAGGGGCGGACTAGGCGCTGGTATCGGTGCATAGCTTCTCAAGGGGAATACTTCGAAGGTGACTATAGTGATATTCAGCAATGAGGTATGTAGCACTTTTCTAGGATGAGTTCACAAACTTAATTGTCCGACCTCGTATATGGAGTAAGAAGATGGTCCCATTTCATTTCTGCATGTATCTTTCCAGTTTTCCCAGCACTATTTATTGAATAGACTGTTTTTACCCCAGTGTGTTTATTCTTGCTTCCTTTGTCATGGATTAAATGACCATGTATGCATTGATTTATTTCTGGGCTCTCTATTCTGTTCCATTGATCTATGTGTCTGTTTATATGCCAGTACCATGCTGTTTTGATTATTATGGCCTTGTAGTATAGTTTGATATCAGGGAGCATGATACCTCCACCTTTGTTTTTTTCTCAGGATTTCTGTGGCTATTTAGGGTTTTCTATGTTTCCATATAAATTTTAGGATTATTTGTTCTCGTTCTGTGAAAAATGTCATTGGTATTTTGACAGGGATTGCATTGAATCTATAGATTGCTTTGGGTAGTATGGACATTTTATCTATATTCTTCCTATCCATGAGCATGGTATATGCTTGCTTTAATTTCTCTTTTCAGTGTCTTATAATTTTTCAAGTACAGGGTCTTTTACTTAAATTTATTCCTAAGTATTTTTTTTATGAAATGGTAGATGGGATTGTTTTCTTAATTTTTCTTTCTGATAGTTTGTTATTGCTATATAAAAATGTAACAGATTTCTGAAAATTAAGTATCCTGCTACTTTACTAAATTTATATATCAGTTCTAAAAGTTCTTTAGTGTGATCTTTAGGCTTCTCTATATATAGTATCATATCATCTGCAAGTAATGACAGTTTTACTTCCTCCTTTCCAATTTGGAAGCCTTTTATTTCTTGTCTGATTGCTGTGGCTAGGACTTCCAATACTATGTTGAATAAAAGTGGTAAAAATGGACACTTTGCTGTATTCCCACTTTGCTGAGAGTTTTTATAAATGGATGGTGGATTTTGTCAAATGCTTTTTCTGCACCTATTGATACAATCATTTGATTTTGATTTTTCATTTTCTTTCTGTGGTGTATCACATTAATTGATTTGTGGGTATTGAACCAACCTTGCATTGCAGAAATAAATCCCATCTGATCATGGTGTATGATCTTTTTAATGTATTGCTGAATTCGGTTTGCTAATTCTTTTCCAAGGATTTTTGCATTTATGTCTATTAGGGATATCACTGACAAGTTTTTAATGTATTTGATTTAGATGGCATATCTGTTAAACTTTTAAAATACCTTTTGATCATTTTGCAGCAGAATTATACAGACTCTTCATACATACCTTCTGATGAACTAGACTCTTACTTTAATTTTACCTCCCCACACATGCACATTGGATACTACTGTTACCCATTTTTTCTTCATGTTGCATTTCAGTATTTTAGAACCAAAATACAGGAATTAAAAAACAGATGGATTTTGGCCTCAGATATGGCCCCTGTTGGTGTTTTATTCACACTATGGACTTACGGTTTTCCTATGTTTTTCTTTTTTGATCTTATTAAAATAAATTTATAGCATATTAAGTAATATCAGACCAAAGAAAGAACCCTAAGAGACATTCTGATGTTTATTTGTTCATTTAACAGAACTACTTAGAATGATTTTATTCTAGCTTCACCTTATTCATAATCATGAGAGACTTAATCAAATGCCTTGCTGGCTGATTTGCCCATTAAAAAAATGATCAGAAAAAAACAGTTCTGGCATGGCTCATTCTTATATATTACAGTGGAGTCTACTATAATTGACAGTATGAGTTAATATTTTTTTTAAAATGATGGACTATTATTTTACTTAAGAGGAAGTAAAACTAAGTGTTTTATCCTAAATTCATTTGGAGGTATTGTAGAGGTTATGAGGATACAGGTTTTTATGTACTTTGTTAATATTTCCTACATCAGTAGTCTTATTTTATTAAGGATGTAGGATTTCTATTTTTATTGCTGCATTTATTAATATCCTAATACTTATTTACTGACTAGCCTTAAAAAATTTTATAAACAACACTTAACCATTATGAAATGTTAGGGGATACTGTCATTACTGTTTTTTTCAGCTGCACTAAAATTGCCTTGTGATACAATTGTATCTGAATTTATAGACGTGTGTACCAGTGTGCACACAAAGTGAATTATCTCCACCAGTAGGAATATGGATTCATTTAGTACATACATATTTATTGCCTGTTTATTATATGCTCAGCATTTTGCTTAGTCATGGAATATAAAATTACATCACAGTCCCTTTCTTGGAGTTATTCATCTTGACAAACTTGGATTCCTAGTCTTTACTTCCTTCCCATTAGCCCAACTGATTAGTAATTTCATGTGTTAGCAATAACATTATTTGAGACTTATTATTTTAATATCAGAACCTTTTCTGTTAAAGCTTAGCAATGCCAGTACATTTTAGTGGTTGGTTGTAAAATACTTTTTAATGGGAATAGTTGATTTACAAGGCATTTGGCCTCTTTTCATAAATAGGCTGTTAAGTATATTTATTTTTTAGTACAAAGAAATACTTTGGTGTATCAATAATGGTAATAAAGTTTCAAAATTCTCCAGTCCCGATGAGCCAATGACAAACTTGGAATTAAAAGTATCTGCCTCCCTAAAACAAGCACTTGATAAACTTAAACTGTCATCGGGTAATGAAGAAAATAAGAAAGGTAAGATTTTGTTTTGTATTTTGTAATTTTTTTCTATATAATTAATTATCTAAAGGAGACAGGTATCATATAGTTTACTGAATATAAATATGGAAAAGTAGCACATTGTAGTAAAGAGCTTATTTTTGTTTTCTAAATGCCAATAATACCACAGAATGGCTATGTGGTATATTCATAATGAGAGCCTGTTAATAAAACTTTTTTCCTCCTTTGATTCATTACTTTTTAACAGTGAGTTAAATTTCTTTGATAATTGTAAATGTTTCATTTGTGCATGAGATAAAATATATTCAGTGTCCTCTGATCCTATATTTGATACCATGGGAGGAAAGTACCTGTTCATGACTTCTCTTTTAGAAGGTTAATAATGGATATATTATTGTGTAATATTGCAGAATAGAATTGTATCACATATCATTTTGAGGATTAGACAAAACCTAATCACAATAGTTGGTTTCTTATTACCTTTTTAAATATATTACCTGAAAGGTCACAGAGAAAACTTAGTCACCTAAAATTATTATTAAATGTCAGGGTTTTGTTTTGTTGTTTTTTTTGTATTTAGAATTTTTTTTTAATTTGTTTTATAGAAAAGATACCTTTTTAAGAATGGCACTACAGTGACGTATTGTATTTTAATGTTTCTAATTGATTTTTTTTTCTTTGTTTCAGAAGAAGACAGTGATGAAGTTAAGATTGGGACCGCATGTAAAAATGGAGGGTGTTCAAAGGTATATGTTGTAAAATATGTGTTAAATCGTGGAAGTAAACATTTTAATTTTGAAAAATGCAATTTACTGACTCAATTCAATAAACATTGGCATGCCTATTATGTGTTGGGCACTATGCTGTGAACTCGGGCTATGAACATGGATAAGAGACTGTCTCTGAAGAGCATCATATCTGATAGAATCTTGGGAATAAATAATTCTCATTCAGTCAGCATTTACTAATCACTTAGTATGTGCCAGGGATTGTTTTGGGGTCTGGGGATACTGTATTAAAGCAAGAATCTCTGTTCTTGCAAAGCTGATACTCTAGGAAGAAAAACAACAAATAGTAATTAAATATGAATTTATGGTATTTATGAAGACAAGGAGATAGAGTGAAGCTATTTAAATAAGATTGTCAGGGAAGTCCTTTTTGAAGTGGTAACACTAAACCAGAAATCTGAATAATGGAGTGGATGAGTTAGGTAAACCTTGGAGTAGATACGGGAGTAGTATCTGTATAGGCTTTAGAGCTTGTCTTTTGGAGGAATTATGAGAAAGATCAGTGTGGGGCTTGGTCAAGGATGTATAAATAAGTTGAGGATAAGAGAGGTAGGCAGGATTATGGAAGTCCTTATAAGCCATAATGAGGATTTTGGGCTTTATTCTAAGTATAATGTGAACCTATTAATCTGTTTCAAGGAGCGGTTTTAAAAATATGTCTTTGGCTGCTAAGTGTCAAATACAATAGGAATTGGAAGAAGGAAACCATCTAGGATTGGAAAAGGATGTGGAATGCCAGGAAATGGGATTGGAGCATATGTTTTTGAGAAGTTAAATGTGGGATGTAATCATACATGTCAGTGAGCTTTCCTACTGTATGTTAAATGTTATACCTGCCAACATTTCCACTCTCCTTTTTTCTACATATCACTTATCACCTTATGACATACTACTTATTTTGCATATTTATTTTATTTATGATCTGTTCGATCTGACTTTTCCCTGATGTACATTTTACAAGGAAAGGATTTTGTTTTGTTCTTTGCTGTAATTTGAATGCTTAGAGCAGTGCCTGGCACATGGCAAATAACATGCAGAATGAATGATATTTGGAAATATTAGCAGGACTTAGTAAAGAACTGGAAGTAACAGAAGGGGGCTTGTGGCTTCAGTGTCTAGGCAATCAGTGACACCATTAATCAAGAAGACGGGGTTGGGGTGAGCAGGTTTGTAGTTTTCCCTCATGTTAAGTTTGAGATCATCTTGTTCATTTAGCAATGGAAATAAATGTATTCACATGTGTATAAGGTAGAAGTAGTAGATAAAAGGGAATGATTAATTCTTGGGGTGGTAGGATAGTAGAAGAAGAGCAGACAGAGGATATCCCAGATGAATTTTGAAAAACAAATGATGGTTCTGCAGATGGACAAAAAGGAAAAGGGTATCTCAAGCAGAGGTGATAGCAGTAGTATACAGCAAACAATAAATGATAATAATGGTACAGAATTTGCTGGGGTTAAATTGAGATTAAAAGAGATAAGTAAGGGCCAGATACTGAAAGGCTTTTATAATGCTCAAAAGTTAGACTAACCTTTAGGTTATGGAGTCCATTAAATTTTTTAATCTTTTTCACTGAAATATAACAATTAAAAGTACCCAAATACAACTTTATTACACAAAATAGAGCCCTATTTATGCCTACTCATTTCCTCTCCCAAAGATAACCACATTTTTCTATCAATGTAGATTGGTTTGCCTATTTTTGAACTTAATGTAAATAGAATCATAGGACAGGTACCCTTGTATCTGTCTTCCTTTACTTATAAAGTGTTAGCATTATCTTTGTTGCATGTTTTATTAACATAGTTGGTTCATTTTCATTGTTTTAAAATTTGCCATTGTTTGAATATGCCAATCAGTTTATCCTTTCTACCGTCCTTTAAATCTTTTTGATTAACTATACTGTGTACATTTTTGGACATGACTTTTGGGACAGATGTACACATTGCTATTAGAGATATAACTAGAAATAGAATTACTGGATTATAGTGTGTATGTTTTCAGTGTATGTGTATACTGCCACAGTTTTCCAAAGTGATTGTATGTACACTCCTACCAGCAGTTTATGAGGTTGGTTTCATTTGTTCTACACCTTGGTATCATTTTATACTAACAGTCTCTTACATTTTTGCCATTCTGGTGGGGGTGTAGTGTTCCCATTGTGGTTTTAATTTGCATTTTCCTGATGATGAGATTGAATTCCTTTCTGTATGTTTATTGGCCATTTGGATAGGCCATTTTTGTGAAATGTCTAAAATCTGTTACCTGTTTTTCCTTTGTTAGCTTTTCTTAATTGATTTTAAGAATTCTTCATATTTTTTAGCTGAAAGTTCTTGTCAGAAAGAAACACTATACATTTTAACTATGTTAATAATGGCTTTTGATAAACAGAGGCGCTTTAAATTTAATAAAATCCAGTTTGTCCACCTTTTCCTTTGTGACCAGTGCTTTGTGTGTCCTATTTAATAAATATGCTTACTTCAGGGCCATGAATTAGAATGGTAGTGTAGTCGCATTGCCTAAAATCTGCTAATGATCATGAGGAAGGTTACCACATTGATAGATGTTTTTAAGTCAAATTGACAGTTTTGTGATAGACTACAGATGGATGGAGAAAGGATGAAGAGGATTTATAGAATTCTGCTTTGGGACACTTGAGTGGATGTGGTGCCATCAAATAAGGTGGAAAGACAGATAGATTTGGGGGGCAACAGTGATAAATTCAGAATCTAGCATATTGAGTTTCATGTACTTATGGAATATCTTTAGGAGATACACACAGCCAGTACTTTGGATTTACAAAAAGTAAACATACAGAATTTTACTTTCTATACTGGTAGGTGGTTGCAGTAAATACGAAAATAGAGAGAAAAATATATTACTGGCTGCGTCTGTGTTTTGTTAACATACCTTTTTGTGAATTCATCTGTAGAGCCTTCACCTACAGTAGCAGTGGGGCCCAGATCTTCCAGACAAACTCTGGATATGTACAGAGGGTGCAAAAAAATGTATACACATTTTAAGAAAGGAAAAAATCTGTATTAAAATTGTAATACTCAATATATACTGAAAACAAAAGATGAATACAAGTCACGTTTGACTTCTGCCTTTACAAGAGGTGCTCAAAGTGGTTACCCTCAGCGTCCAAACACTTCTGATTATGGCGAACAGCTGCTTGAGCAACGTTGACCCAAGTGTCCACTTGTATCGCTGCACATGCTATTTCAATTTCTTCACACATACCATGCATGTCAGATTTATCTCAAATGCATGCAATTATTAGGCTTGTTGGGGGTTCTGTTGCATAGTCACTCCTCGTACAACGTTCTCGAATTTCAAATACCACTTCAAAATGGTCTTGTGCTCCTTGAACAACACCATGTTTCTGCCATTTTTTTTGTCCTGCCTTTCGCATGGTGATGCTAGCATTCATTTGATTAATGCTATCTTTTGAGTGATTAATGCTATCTTTTGAGCAAACATCATACTACACATTGCTATCGTAATTCAATTCAACTTCGAAAAGTAATATATAGATAACATCGCTTAAAATGTGTATACGTTTTTTTGGTGTGCGTGTGTGTGTGTGTCTGCAGCTCATTTTACCCTTCATAGGGATAAAAAATCATCACTCTAGAACTTCCAGAATTGCTTATTTGATTTTTCCATATTAATTCATAATCCCCACAGTTTACTATGCACATAAATCATGCTATAACTATACTGTCGAGATTACTAATCTCTTGGTTTTAATGTAAACGTAAATACCTGAATAGGCTTGGGTGTGACCTAATACCCAAAAGTCTGAAAGCATCTTTAATACATCCTACTGCCTACTTTCCTTTTGCCTTTTTCATAGAGAACTGGCACTTAAGTTCATTTTTCATTTCTTATAGGAATGGCCTGGGGTGAATTTATGAATGTTCTAGGTAATTTTTGTTATTTCGTGAGCATTTTCATAATTCTTAGAAGTCTCCAATACTACAAATGTGTGTGAAATACAACATTAAGATATGAAGCTAATTATTTTTTTTCTCTTTTAGACATATCAGGGTCTACAGAGTCTAGAAGAAGTCTGTGTATATCATTCTGGAGTACCTATTTTCCATGAAGGGTAACTTACACATGACTAAAACTTTTTTATGGTGGAGCTTAGAAAAGTTAATATGCCTTTAAACATGATTTGCCATGCAGCTTAATTAGATATTTTATTTACATTGTGTGATCTTTATAATCTAGAAATGTGGGTTTTGTCTTCTTTTTACACATGAGAAACTAAAAGAGTATCACAGTTAAGTGGCCATTGTGATTTGATTCAAACTTCATGTTTCTTTTTATTCCGTTATATTTCAGTGTGATACTCTGGGCTGAATAGTGTTTTGTTGGAAGAACTGTCCTGCGCATTGTAGGACATTCAGAATGTTTGACCCTGGGGCACTAAGACACCAACATTGTGGCATCCAAGAAAACCCATACTTTTCTACAGCCCTCCCTCCTCTCTTCTTTATTACCTTGTAGTTTATAGACACATAGTACTGTGTTAAAGTCTTCCCCTCTGTTTGAAATGTTCTTCAGGATTCAAACCCAAAGCTTTGCTGTAATTTTTGTCTTCCAGTGTTAGATTTGTCTCAATAATGGGTTTCACTTACTTTGGGACTGACCTTCACAAGCTGAGTAAACATTATTTTTCAGTGTGTTTTCATGTTCTCACTTTCCTGGGTTATTCAAATGTGAGAATTTTAAATCTTTGGTCATGTCACGTTTTGGTAGCTTCATGAGTACACTGGAATGTGAGCTATTAGTAAAAAGCTGATTCAGAATTTTGTGATGGTTTTAAGCCTCTTCATTCAGGAGCTCCAACATTGCTATAATAAATGGCATTTTGGTTTTAAAATCATTAGTCTGATAGTTTTAATAGGTAGCTTACACACTTGTAAGATACTAAAATTGCACACTTATTTGAATTTTTGGTTTTTTTTTAAATGTTATCTTTTTTTTTTTTTTAATTTTATTGGGGAACAGCCATGGTCATTGGTTACACATTGCTTTTATGCTACAATGGCATAGTTGAGCCTTTTAAGGAAAGTGGAGCTCACAGCGACCCATGCGAGGATCTAACCAGCAACCTTGATGTTATCGGCACCACGCTGTAACCAACTTAGCTAACCAGTCACCCCTTGATTTTTTTTTTTAATTAACATTTGTCACTATAATACATCTGGGCTTAATTGATTGTGAGATTTTATTTCTGAAAATTTTCTATGATTTTTTAAAGGATGAAGTACTGGAGCTGTTGTAGAAGAAAAACTTCTGATTTTAATACATTCTTAGCCCAAGAGGGCTGTACAACAGGCAAACATATGTGGACTGCAAAGGATGCTGTAAGTAGTCTTTTCAAAATAACACATTACGGTGTATTCATCTGAGTCATTTTTAAAAGATTTTACATTATTCTGTCTTCAGAGTTTAAAAAAGTTTTCCTCTCCATAAAGTTTTGATGGGCCTTAAAAAACAAACAAAAACTAAAATTAAGAGCCAGCTCCAGAGCGTGATCAAAATAGCCATTGTGTATTTCAGTGTAAGCATATAGGTTTTTGTGAAATACTTAAGCATACCATAATTGGAGCATATTTTCTGGAATTCCATGGCCTGTTTCCACTTTTTGTTTTATAAAAAGCACTTTTCTACTCATTTGATGTTATTGATCACTTAGATCCCTGATTCTCTTTTGGCCACTTAGAGCTTCATTTAATTTAGATGCACAAACACTTCACCTAGTTGCCAGAGAGGAGGATTGCAGACTTGTTTTATTGAATTGTTTTGAATATCTCTGCTTGCCACAACGAAATTTTATCAACAGAAAAAAGAAAGCATCAGTTTCTACTTCCAGTTTTTTTAAAAAGACTCGTTATTCTGCAAATAATTCCCCAAAATCCTATTAAGTTGTAAGAAGGCAAGCAGTTTATTGCTAAATAAGTATTTGATAGATATTATTGTATTTTATAATAAATTATTTGTATGTGCTGCATTTGGCATTAATCTCAAGGCAATGAACTCTTCAGTATGTGTGTCTTTTAACTTCTAAAATAATTGTAAATTTTCAAATTGCTGTAGGGATTCATTGTACATTTAAATATTCTATAGTTTCTACTTTTTAATACATGGTTGGAGATTATAAATATATCCCTCAAGTTATAATTCATCTACCACAAAACTTCTTCGGATGTTTTATTAGCAAAAAAATGAAGTCTCCCTGTAATTTCTCCAAGGTCCAAAAGTTTGAAAAATTTAGTTTGAAAACATAAACTGTTGTTTTTTATTATGAATATAACTCTTGATGAAATGTATTTGTTATTTTTTAATGCATGCAGTTATCAAGTATTAAGTGTCTAAACCAGTAGCTAGGAACAACAAATGTAAGTGTGATATAAGTAATTTAAATTTAATTAGTATAATTGTACCAAAATGTAAATAAATACTGCTTTTTACAGCAGTAGTGCCTCACAGTTTCCTGCATGATGTGACCTAACTAACCTTCATAAAACAAATCACAATTTGTCTCTTTCTTCAAAATATTACTAATATAGCAATGTAACACTGATAGGTAAAAATTATTTCAATAATAGTAATCAGAATATTACTTCCACAGATTCTTTTTTCTTTCATGTATTGTGAGAGGAAAATTATTATTCAATAACAATAGCAGATTCCAATTTGTAGAAAATAAATGGAAGTTTCCTTGCATGAGGTTAAGATGTTGTCTTGTTTTTCCCACTAAGCAAATATCTTTCTCACTTCAGCCTTCAAAGAATGTTTTTATGACTGTACTTAGTGGATTGCAAAGTGTTAAAATTGGATAAAGTTTTGTAGGAGTTCTTAAGTTGCCTTTTTCATTGTATATTAATACTACGGCCCTAAAAGAAAAAAATCAAATGGAAAGAATAATCATGTTATCAAATCATAAAACTACTAATATAAAGATTCTTTTTAATATATATTTTATTGTTTAAACTTCTTGATGGTAACTGTAGAAGTTTGCCTTTAAAAACATTAAGGACTGAGTTGCACATGGTGATTTTTTTCTCAATTAGATTGGTCAAATTCCTCTAAGAGGTTAATTATTTGGCACTTTGTAAATCCATAGTTTGTCTTATATTACAGGGGAAAAAAGTTGTTCCATGTAGACATGACTGGCATCAGACTGGGGGTGAAGTCACCATTTCAGTATATGCTAAGAATTCACTTCCAGAACTTAGTCAAGTAGTAGCAAATAGTACACTG